AGACAATTGTTTTCCTGTTGCACACCAAGTTGAATCCATTAGCTGACAGATTAATCTAGAGGTCACGCCGGCCAGCAAGAGGAACATCGCCCAACATCATGCTGATTAATGATGCGCTACATCTCTACGAATAACTTAGTCATACATCATACTGCAGGAATCAATACGGTTTCCAATTTCCTCACAACAACATGTTTCTAGAGGTGCACTGGTTTATTGACATGCAATGACAAATTACCTCCCCTAAAAAAAGAGTTAAAAATGTTTGAACAATATCCTGACAAAGCCTTCAACCTTTAAATGTAATGTTACATTGAAGGTTATACTGCATATCTTGTGTTTTTTGGTTCATGTTTAAATTAAGCGTTTCTAAATGCTTGCTCAGGTGTCATGTCAGCTTGATAAGATGTTGGAGAACATGGCTACAGTGTTCTTGCTGTTTGCTATGTGATTGATAGAAACCTTGCTGATTTCAAGGGTGTCGCCAGAGCCCCTTTCACACAGAGATTCCGGAAAATACCAGGATAATGTGACCCTGCATTTGTCCCGGGATTGTATTATTTCGGTTCATTCACACTGCCAGTGATTTGCCGGGATCTGTGAGTGCTTTCACACACAACCCGAAAAGATCCCGGAAAGACACATGACGTCAGGATTAGACGTGTAACGTACGCGTCGAAAACGTCACCGTTCCACAAAGCTGGTGAACGATCTCAGCTTCAGCGCGGATAGTGAGGAGCTCCTGGTCTCTGCTTCGCTCCAGTTTGCAGACATTTGGTCGTCCTTTCTTTGTTGATGACGAACACAAACTTTCTTCTAAGACAGACTGATCTCATGAAGTAGCGTGTGTATGACACGCCAATTTGTATTTCCATTTTTGGCGTGCTATCAAGACGCATAATCGCTTTTCAGCGTGTTTATGAACGCCGTTGACTTAACGTTATATAAATATATGACTTACCTCAACCCCGTCCCTAAACCTAACCGTCACTGGGGTTAATGGCATTTATGACTGTTCCCTTACCATCCTAGGTAAAAAAAAGATATGACTTACCTCAACCCCATCCCTAAACTTAACCGTCACTGGGGTTAATGGCATTTATGACTGGAGATTTGACTGCGTGTTCAGACACGCGGAATGACGCGGACGTTAATGGCGTAGACATATACACATACACGTGGATACACGTGGATAGCACAAAATGCGTGGAGATAACACGCCACCTGACTCGAAAGTGGCGTATATGTTTACGCAAAAGTCATGATGTCATGTTGTCTAAGAGCAACAGAGTCACGCGATAGCACAAGCGTCATCACTATGACACACCCCTTATGGCATTGGTCCTGGCTTTTGTTCACACAGCACGCGTTCAGGGACTGATTCTGGCAATGTTACTAGGTCCTCAACCCGGCATCGATGCCGGTATCAATCCCGGGTCGTGTTTGTGTCACACAGAAGGCGTTCTGGCAATTTACCGGCAATTTCCCGGGATCAACACGCTGTGTGAAAGGGACTTAGGTCTCAACCATAGACTGTAAAAAAAGATGGACGACGCCCCTTCGCTCTTTTCCATCAGAAAATGACGCTGACATCTTGGGACCTGAGTCTGCGCACTTGCGTGTTTCGGGACCAGTCATGCGCAGTCGTGAGCAGAAAGTAAAGCCGCGAAATCAAGGCCGCGCCCTCATTCTCGCTGAATCAAACGCAAGCACACGCCCCGCACTTTCATTAAGTGTCCTCTGTCTGCTTCGTTCTTCTCCAATAATGTCCGCTGATTGCAGAACCTCGTTAAAATAAGGTAAATACAACTACTAACCACATAATCAACATTATTAAAAAAAAAGTCCGCTGGTGCTTCAGTGACTACCTCGCACAGAGAACCTGTCAATCACAGCTGTCAATCATGATGTCAGAGCACCGTTTTTATCATTACATAACTAACTAAAAACAAACTTATTTTAAAAACGAACACTTGAAATTACATCAACGTGATAGAAACTACAGTAAATGACAGAAACTATCTTTGGAAAAAGGATATGTGAAGTGTAATTTAATTGTTTAGTTGGTCTCGCGTCCCATTGAATAACATGGGGAGGCGGGGGTTATGAGCTATATTAGGACCGGTCACAGGGGGGCGATCGAGACGTTTTGGCTTCACTTTTGAAGGCTTGTACGGCACGCTTGGTCTCAACCAATGGGCTATATGCACGCATAAGTTCCGCATTTGACGTAAGGATGCTCGTCCATTTCCGGTTGTGTAGATTAAAGCGGAGGAAAACCGGAGAAAACGGGATTATGGCAGAGTCTTCAATATTTACTGTCCTCCCGTCTTTGAAACGAAACGTACATACGTTTAGATGTAATTTTATATATAGTTATGTTTATTTAATATAATTTTAAAAAGAAGCATAAACACAACGAGGGGTGTCTGTTTTATCTGTTTTTGTGACTAACGTTTCATTAGTATAACCATGGAGTATAAAATTCAATATAAATTCTCGGTATTGCATTGGACTCTATGATCGGCGGAAGTTATCGAGCATCCTTAATCCTTTACCGGAAATAACGCCGTGCATAGAGCCCATACAAAGAGTTGCAGTAATATTAATGAGAAGTAAGAAGACAGACTGATATAAAAAGTCACTCAAGTCAGAACAGAGAATAAGATCTGACGTTGCTGGTGCGGAATCAAAGTGTCTGCTAGATTTAGTAAGACTTTCAAGCAATCATGCTTCAAGTACACTTCTTCAGCAGAGCTTTCATGCCACTGACATCACAACAGAAAGAAAGCTACATTTATACATATAAAAGAGTTATATTATAAATAAATCTATTTTTTTTATAAAAGGGTTGTCTACGGCAGATGATTTAAATGACCTTCAAGTATCTAGGAGTTTTGATCAACATGGAAATAAATCTTGAGCTAAAAAATAATCGTGATTTTAACGGTAAAAATGCTACAGTGCAAAACTGTTATTTGGTTACCAGAAAGTTTCCGTATTATACACAACTATGACATAATTGTGATAGAGCTAATGGTACATTTCATGTAATTTTATTGTAAAATACCATTAAATTTAGTTTAAATTTTTTTTTTGTGAAATAACTGTTTCCTCATAGTTTTCTTTTTTTATCAGTTATGTATATTAGGGTTTTATGTTACATTTAATGTTGTTATATTAATGTTTATTGCATTTTGTTTTTAAATTTCATGTGTGTTACCATGTTGTTGTTTAATGTTTGTGTGAATGACATTGTGCAGCTTCTTTAGTTTATGTAAGTATAAACCTTCTTGAGGAAGAGCTGTTTGTGATGAGCTCTGATTAATCATGTGACTCATCGTCACTGATGTGATTGGTGGTTGTCAGTGTATTACAATGGTACAATCAATACTTCAATAGGTTGGTAAATTTTTAAATACAAAAAATATTTCACCCCGAATTTCAAAGGTTCATTCGAGAACGGTAGCAATGTAGCGTGATTTGCTAATAGGCAGCAAACTTGATACGCAACTATCATATGTACGCTGCTTTTGTGGATGCAGTCAGTTTTGACAGCAAAAGATGAGGTAAATTGATTGGATATCATGTATTTGACCACGTTCACGTTTTTTTTACACTATATTTTCCTGTAAGAAATACATGTTCGGTTTAAATCTTATTTTAAGCTGGGGTAGAATTAGGCAAAACACAGTATTTTGTTCACGCACCCCCTCGTTCTCACGTACCCGTTTAGGAAGGAAACACTTCCTTAGCATATGTACAACATTAACAAACAATCTGAAACCATTTTACAGATATTCAACACTATTGGTAGTTGGATTCATGTTTAAACAAGCAAATATTGGCAGCTCTGGTGTAAACAGAGAAAATGGCTGCTTTGCCAATGCATTTGGTGGATTAACATGGGCCAAGGAACAACAAGGATTTCTGAATTGTGTCATCTGAAGAGGATCAACATTCTGTTCAGGCAAAAATAGCCTTCAATTCTTGAAGTGCAAAAGCAATTCTTCAGGCTAGATTGAGATACGTGAAGGATGTGACATGGCACTAGCCTTTTCATGTTCTTAGCACAAGCACAATCTTTGAAGTTTTGTGAGTTGAGGAGCTCCAGAAACTACAGAAAAGACAACACATTTCTCCTCTGAACTTCCGAAAAGATAGATAAATTGTTTTTTAGTGATTGCAGAATGAATTCTGAAAGAGTAGTGGCTGCTTCTTGTCCGTTTGGATCCAATACAGCGTCAAAAACAGGAGACATATATTACACTGCGTAGCCTATATTACACTGGCTGTCGACACAGCGCCCTCTGCTGGTTTTGAATACAAACTGAAGGAGCGCCTTCAAGGCCATTAACAAAAGCCTCACAATGTCAGACTGTCAGTCAAAAAATCCGATTTTTGTGCATATCAGATCATATTTAGCAAGTGTGAACAGCAACACTGTTCATGTGATAGAAATGGGCTTCTATTATCAAATGTCCTTCTGAATTGCATTGTGTAAATGTTTAATACACTTTGCTATTACAGTGCACACAATCTATCGGGATTTTTTTGTTTGTTTTTAATCTTTTTATCAAACTGTAATAACTTGCCTCAAAAGAGTTGCAAATATAGTTTCATTTTGACTTTAAGAATATTAACTACAGAGATGAAGTTAGTTACACACAACTCAACACACGTTCTGAAGCTACTTTAAGACAGTTTTGCTCTGCTCATCTAACAATTCATCATTCACACGAAGTACTTACATGTCAGCGTGTCTACCAGTGGATTTCATCACCGGATGTGGGAGGAAACCACAGGAGTTCATTCGCATCTTTCAAAGCACTTCAACACACAGCCTATTTTGGTTCAGTTTGAGGAAGGATTGCATCCTTTGTTCTTGTTGATTTCGGTGGTCTCTAAAGTTTGATATTTATAGAAGCAAATCCTCAACCACAACATGTACACAGAACTATCAAAACTAAACTATATGATAAATCTCGCAATGTGTTTAACTCCAAAGGAGCTTCATATTGTACTCCAGCAGCAATCAACAGTCAACTGATTTCACCTGTGTTCTTTCTTAAGGCAAATATACGTCCGTGTAGGAAACAATGCTCTTGACCAATGGGAAGTGTGCCTGCTCTCTGGAGGACTGCAGCACACGGCTGGTGGTTGAAGTGTTGCTGAACAGGAAGTTGCTGAGTAGAATTGAGAGAGCTCCAACAGACATGAGGGTCTCTTATCAGGCTCTTGTCTTGTTTTTCTTAGCAGGCTTTTGCTCACTCGGTAAGATACTTTCATAAGCATTTGCATAGTTTTGTAGCTTTTTTTTTTTTAGTTCTGTGTATTTTCTTCTACATGGCCACTTAAATGGCTCTTTTATATTCATTTGTATGACACCAACATTTTTGTTTACTACAGGGAAAGCTGAAGTTCACACAGTCGTCAGCAGACCAATCCCAGGAACTCTGCAGAATGTCAGTAAGAATGACAATGGAGTACAGAAGGCTGTCCTGACCGGAACCTACTCATTTAACAATAAGTCCAATGATGCTTTCCTGTTCAAAGCATCGTCTGTTGATGACGCCAAGAGACAGGTACAGTGCAAGAAGCCCCTTTGACTCACTGCGTTTGTACATAATGGATGCGTCATCCAGTCTCTGCTCTGCTATAGGTGGTCAAAGGCATCCGCTACATTCTGGAAGTGGAGATCTCACGGACTATCTGCAGGAAGAGGGGCAATAACGAAAACCTCACCAACTGTACCTTTCAGACGGACAGTCTGTTACGCCAGGTCTGTGTGGTTTTCTGTGGAAGAAGTTAAAATGGCTTTCTTGCTCTGAAGTAACTCAATAAGGCAAAAAATTAGGGTTCTCACTCTAGATTTTTATAATGGTTTTGAAAGTCTCTTATGCTGACCCGGGCTGCATTTATTGGATCAAAATGACAATATTAACAGTAATAATGTGAAATATTATTAGTTATTTAAAACGAACTAGTTCTGCTCTAGAACATTTAAGAATAAAATGTATTCCCTTGATGCAAAGCTGAGCAATTTTACACCAGTCTTCAGTGTCTCATGATCCTCCAGAAATAGTTCAAAAGATCAGCATTTATTTGAAATAGAAATCTTTTGTAACACTAAGTTTTTTACTGTCACTTTTGATCAATTTAATATGCCCAAAGGTGTATATATATATATACACACACACACACAGAGTTGTAATCAAAATTATTCAACGCCCCTTTGCAACTCAGGTTTATTGGCAATGGCAATATTGATAGATTTTCAGCTGTTTGCAATGAACAAACCAAACTAAAGTAAAGGAAATAGCTTAACACAACAAACTTTAAGTGGTTTCCCCAAATTCAACTGCAAAAGTCACTTTTAATGACTTCTGCATAGTCTCAAAATGATTTAACCCCTTATTAGAACTCCCTTTTGCTGTGATGACCTGCTGCAGATGAGATGTATAACCATACACCAGCTTCTGGCAGCGTTTCTGAGGAATCTTAGCCCATTCCTCATGAGCAATGGCCTCTAGTTTAGTATTATTCGTGGGTTTGCGTGCTGCAACCGCCTTCAAATCCCACCAGAGATTTTCTATGGGGTTCAAGTCAGGTGACTGATTGATAATGTAGAATCTTCCAGGACGACTTCTGCAACCAAGCCTTGGCGAATTTGAGGGATCATAGTCCTGTTGGAAGGTCCAATGACACCCAAGCTTTAGCTTCCTCACTTACCCCTTTTCCACCAAAGAAGAATTGGTTCGGAACTGGTTCAAAGTTGGTTCAACTTGCGACCCTTCTCTGAACCTGTTTGTTTTTCCACTGACTAGAGAACCCAATGACGTCGTTACGTCACTGTATACGTCGCCATATGTCTTAGATTTCCTTGAAACGCTTGCGACAACTTTAAGCATAACAATTACAATGGCGGACTACATCGTCTTTCTGCAAATATTTTGCGAACCTATATTGGGGTCAGACTATCTTTCTACTAGCACTGTGTTTTTAGCAATGGCAGTCACAACCTTTCGCGTCGTGGTGTTGGTCACCCCGCCCCCAGCCCCCGACGTAAGGGTGACGTGGTAAACGAACGGTTCTCTGGTTCTAGTCCAGCAAAGAGTTGGTGCCATTTTGGAACCAATTTTCCTGGCCGAGAACCGGTTCTTTGACTGTCGAAACACAAAGAACAGGTTCGCAAGTAGGCACCGACTCCGAACCAGCTCTCAAAATGCTTTAGTGGAAAAGGGGCAACAGGCATGACGTTTTCTCCTAGGATTTCCTGAAACCTCAATGAATCCATCTTGCCTTCCACACGCTGCAGGTTTCCAGTGCCAGAGGATGCAAAGCAGCCGCAGAGCATCACCAAGCCTATGGTGCCTTACTCCAGACATAACTCTGATCCATAGGGCCGATAAGTTCCAGTTTTGTTTCATCACTCCACAGAATCCCAAAACTTCTGTGGCTTCTTTATTTGAGCACTTTTCCTGTGCTTTTGGGTCAGTAGTGGTGTTGCTTTAAGTCTTGGAGTTCTGGCATGGAAACCGCATGCGTTTAGTTCGTATCTTTTTGTATCCTGTTCCTTGTTTGTGAAGGGCGATGATATCTTTTCTGAAAGTCCACCTTTAATCACCAAAGCGACATATTTAAACGTTTTGTTCGAGAACAAGTTCTTCATACTTTAAAATAGCTTGAATTAAAGCTCTACACCCTCATTAAGAATGCACAGTTCTATGAATATGCAAATTAGCCCCACCTCCACTCACTCACACCAGCTCAGTGATCCACTCGTTGACGTTTTTGAGACTGTCTTTGGTTCACTGCAGTTTCGAAGGTACGAATTTGTATCAAAATATCCCAAAACCACTGTGCACAGTGTTATATATATTTTTTAATTGTGTACTTGCATTATCCTAAATGTTTACAAGAATTTGCAAATTCAGAGAAATTCAAAATTTTAAAAAGTTCCTGTCCCTGTTCACTTGTTGCCTGTCAATGGCGTAATATCCACGTTAGAACTGGTTTCCGTTTGTATTGCCATAGAAACCATGGCGACAGACACAATGTTTAGAGGCACGCTCACGTTGTTGTTTAGTTCGAACATTATGGATCATGGGAAGCAGAATTTGGGACAAAAGGATAACTAAAACGAGGATCAATATTGGCGTGGCGTTTTCGAGATGCCAAGAGCTTCGGAGCAAACATCGAATTGACAGAGCTTCACGAGTCACGACTTGATAGGGACGCCGCTCTTGCATGTACTTTATTAGACAGGTGAGCAAATGTACATAAAACTAATCAACGTTATATAGCTCAACATGATGAAATGTTGAATATGATCAGTATGTTATTCTAATGTTGATCTCGCTTACTGCTGGTCTCATAGCAAACAAACTAACACAGAATAACATTATAACTTTCAAAACACTCAAATGCTGTTTAGTATGATAGTGTAATGTTAGACCAAATGAAACAGCGTGCGTTACCTCACAAGTTTAATTCGTCAAATTACCTAACCTCTGTGAGTAGTAATTCAGCACTTGCGGGTAGTTCCGTAGAAGTAAATGTGGCGCTGATGTCTGTCTCTCATTAGCAATCACGCCCTGCTTCATACCACAGTCATGTTAACAAACATGAATGTTTTCACTCATCCATAAACATTATTAGATCCATCAGCATGACAGAAAGTCCCATTCCGCTTATCACTGGATCATCAACCTACGCCTTCGTTATTGTAAGAGGTCAGCGACCCCTAGCAGCGAAGGAAAAAAAAAATAATATTGAGAAAATACTCTGCAATGGTGTTGACTTGTGCTTTAAAGGGTACATATAATGCTTTTTAAATCATTCATTTTAACTTATAAATCATACATTTGTGGTCCATATAAAGCATAACTGCAATGCTTGGGTCTGAATTCCTCATTATTATAGCTCCACAGGCCCCTTTTCTACCCCTTTTCTGATGTGCTTCTGTGAGCAAGTCGTTTCTCCAGGCCGCTGAGTTCACGGTCGGTTCAACTCTCCGCGTTCGGCCATTATTGTAGTTTAATTAGAGATACGATTACTAGCTTCGAAGAAAATTTTTATTCACACGTTAACAAAATGTCAACAACGGAAGACTTGTCCATCAAGCACGTTAAGGCATATTCATATTCGAGCCAGAGCGAGCGATTTGAAAAAGACGACGACGAACCTGCAGAACAACGTCTTCATATGGATGCAGTGGTATGCAAGTTAACTAAGTTGTGTTATTAGCGAAAGTCGACTATTTCTCTTGTTAAAACAAGCACACTGACAATATAAATGACTATGGTCTAATCTTACCACTAAAAATCTGTATTGATAATGATATAATAACTTGCGTTTAGAAAAGCATCAGAAAACACAGCAGCTAAATAATAGAAGGAATTTACGATCGAAAAAACGTAATAGAGAACAGAAAAATCTGAACAGGTTGAAAAATATGACCAAAACAGAATATAAAGATATAAACGAAGCACTTGAAGAGAATAATTTCATCTTTTCTGTACTTATAAACACTCCAAATATACAACAAAATGCATTTAAGGGCTAAAAAAGTGGATTTTGCATATGTCCCCTTTAAGACAAACCATATACACATGCATATTAAAAACACCATATAGACATATAAACAACATTAAACTATTCTTTTGACTAAGTTATATTTCTAAAATGCAGTCAAATGTGTCACTCAACAAACCTACCCAGTTCAGATATTTATAAGTGTTCTAGCTCAAGCGCACCTGGTGAAACTAATGAAGCCCTTGATTAGTTGCATCAGGTGTGCTTGAGACAACACCTGTTTTGCAGATTTGTGCTGTTCTGATGGATTCTATTCAGGGGGTTGAATAATTTTGAGACTGCAGAAGTCATTAAGTTGTATTTTCAGTTGAATTTGGGGAAATAACTTGAAACATTGTGTTGAGCTATTTCAATTAATTTGCTTTGTTCATTGCAAACAGCTGAAAGCTTGAAGTCCTGAAACCTGATTTGCAATGGGGGTTAAATCATTTTGATTACTGACAACTGATTATTTATGCATGTCATTTTCCAACTTTTTAGACTTGCAAATCACAATTAAAATTACAAGATATTTCCATGACCCTGATAATCCTCTACAAATGTAATTATAAAATACTGTATATTGAGGTTGTAAATCATTACTCATATGATTTTTTTAATTATGTTTCCTTTTATTATAGACATTCCTCTGTCACTTTGACATATGGTCAATCCCATGGATGAAGACAATGTCGACCACATATTTTAAGTGTCATTCTTTTGATAAATTCTGAAATGTCTTTTTCATCTAAATGTTTTTCAATAGATCAATCTGAAATGTCATGCTAATAAAATAAAAAAGTGAATAGTGTAGTGACTGGTTATGTACAGTAATTCTATATGTGCAAGTGACCTTCAGTTCATCAGATGCTGAGACTGACTGACTGAATGTGAATTATTCAGTGGACTTCACTTCTGATGTGCTTTACGCACCTACAGTAGATCAGGGGCTATCACCACAATCTCTGGGCTCCCTGGTTTCTTTTCCTTTGAGTCACAGATCTTTAAAGCAAACTGGCCCTAGAAATACAACAGCACTGATCTAACTCGCATCTAACGGGTTTGTTTGAACAGATTTTTTTTCCCACATTTCCTATCCTTACACATTAAGATAAAATCGTTTTTTCTCCAGTCATTGTTAAAAAACAAGCTAACAAAACCTTCACTTAAGCGCCGCCCACATAAAAATATCACCATGTTTACCAACTGAAAAGGGGTCTAGCCCTTTCCCGAATACTAGCGCTGAACTGTTTCTTCTATGGTTTATTCCTGTTATCACCTGTAATAAATAGCTATGCTTTTCCAAGTTACTTTGCAAAGTATTGCCAGTTATTTCACTGCCTCATCGGCCCATTGCCTGTTTCATTGCCTTCCTGTTATGACCATTGTGCTTTTCTGTTTTCATTTTGTTTTGTTTTGTGTCTGATTACCTTGCCTGCTTCATTGACTTGAATCTCTGCCTTGTATTTTGGATTTGTTGACTGATTTAACTAACTAACTAACTAACTAACTAACTAACTAACGAACTAAAATAACTTCTTGGCCCAATTTCACAGACAGGGCTTAGATTAAGCCAGGATTAGGATTTAGGTATAGTTGAGAATTAAATATCCTAAATTTAGCTTAGGAAAAAAAAGAAGACATTACTGGTGTGCATCTTGAGACAAAACAATGGCACTGACATAATTTAAGATTTGTCAGTCCAAGTTGCTTTTAGTCCAGACAACTGCACTTCAGTCCAGACAACTGCAGACAACTGCACTTCAGTCCAGACAACTGCAGACAACTGCACTTCAGTCCAGACAACTGCAGACAACTGCACTTCAGTCCAGACAACTGCACTTCAGTCCAGACAACTGCACTTTAGTCCAGACAACTGCACTTCAGTCCAGACAACTGCAGACAACTGCACTTCATTCCAGACAACTGCACTTCAGTCCAGACAACTGCAGACAACTGCACTTCAGTCCAGACAACTGCAGACAACTGCACTTCATTCCAGACAACTGCACTTCAGTCCAGACAACTGCAGACAACTGCACTTCAGTCCAGACAACTGCAGACAACTGCACTTCAGTCCAGACAACTGCACTTTAGTCCAGACAACTGCACTTCAGTCCAGACAACTGCAGTCAACTGCACTTCAGTCCAGACAACTGCACTTCAGTCCAGACAACTGCAGACAACTGCACCTCAGTCCAGACAACTGCAGACAACTGCACTTCAGTCCAGCCAACTGCACTTCAGTCCAGACAACTGCACTTTAGTCCAGACAACTGCAGTTTAGTCCAGACAACTGCACTTCAGTCCAGACAATTGCACCTCAGTCCAGACAACTGCACTTTAGTCCAGACAACTGCACTTCAGTCCAGACAACTGTACTTTAGTCCAGACAACTGCACTTTAGTCCAGACAACTGCACTTTACTGCACTTCAGTCCAGACAACTGCACTTCAGTCCAGACAACTGCACTTCAGTCCAGACAACTGCACTTTAGTCCAGACAACTGCACTTTAGTCCAGACAACTGCACTTCAGTCCAGACAACTGCACTTCAGTCCAGACAACTGCACTTCAGTCCAGACAACTGCACTTCAGTCCAGACAACTGCAGACAACTGCACTTCAGTCCAGACAACTGCAGACAACTGCACTTCAGTCCAGACAACTGCACTTTAGTCCAGACAACTGCACTTCAGTCCAGACAACTGCACTTCAGTCCAGACAACTGCACTTCAGTCCAGACAACTGCACTTCAGTCCAGACAACTGCACTTCAGTCCGGACAACTGCACTTCAGTCCGGACAACTGCACTTTAGTCCGGACAACTGCACTTTAGTCCAGACAACTGCAGTTTAGTCCAGACAACTGCACTTCAGTCCAGACAACTGCACTTCAGTCCAGACAACTGCACTTCAGTCCAGACAACTGCACTTCAGTCCAGACAACTGCAGACAACTGTACTTTAGTCCAGACAACTGCACTTTAGTCCAGACAACTGCACTTTAGTCCAGACAACTGCACTTTAGTCCAGACAACTGCACTTCAGTCCAGACAACTGCACTTCAGTCCAGACAACTGCAGTTTAGTCCAGACAACTGCACTTCAGTCCAGACAACTGCACTTCAGTCCAGACAACTGCACTTCAGTCCAGACAACTGCACTTCAGTCCGGACAACTGCACTTTAGTCCGGACAACTGCAGTTTAGTCCAGACAACTGCAGTTTAGTCCAGACAACTGCAGTTCAGTCCAGACAACTGCACTTCAGTCCAGACAACTGCACTTCAGTCCAGACAACTGCACTTTAGTCCAGACAACTGCACTTTAGTCCAGACAACTGCACTTTAGTCCAGACAACTGCAGTTCAGTCCAGACAACTGCAGACAACTGCACTTCAGTCCAGACAACTGCACTTTAGTCCAGACAACTGCACTTCAGTCCAGACAACTGCACTTCAGTCCAGACAACTGCAGACAACTGCACTTCAGTCCAGACAACTGTACTTTAGTCCAGACAACTGCACTTCAGTCCAGACAACTGCAGACAACTGCACTTCAGTCCAGACAACTGCAGACAACTGCACTTTAGTCCAGACAACTGCACTTCAGTCCAGACAACTGCACTTCAGTCCAGACAACTGCACTTCAGTCCAGACAACTGCACTTCAGTCCAGACAACTGCACTTCAGTCCAGACAACTGCACTTCAGTCCGGACAACTGCACTTCAGTCCGGACAACTGCACTTTAGTCCAGACAACTGCACTTTAGTCCAGACAACTGCACTTCAGTCCAGACAACTGCAGACAACTGCACTTCAGTCCAGACAACTGCACTTTAGTCCAGACAACTGCACTTCAGTCCAGACAACTGCACTTCAGTCCAGACAACTGCAGACAACTGCACTTCAGTCCAGACAACTGTACTTTAGTCCAGACAACTGCACTTCAGTCCAGACAACTGCAGACAACTGCACTTCAGTCCAGACAACTGCAGACAACTGCACTTTAGTCCAGACAACTGCACTTTAGTCCAGACAACTGCAGTTTAGTCCAGACAACTGCACTTCAGTCCAGACAACTGCACTTCAGTCCAGACAACTGCACTTCAGTCCAGACAACTGCACTTCAGTCCAGACAACTGCACTTCAGTCCAGACAACTGCAGACAACTGCACTTCAGTCCAGACAACTGCTAACTGCACTTTAGTCCAGACAACTGCACTTTAGTCCAGACAACTGCACTTCAGTCCAGACAACTGCACTTCAGTCCAGACAACTGCACTTCAGTCCAGACAACTGCACTTCAGTCCAGACAACTGCACTTCAGTCCGGACAACTGCACTTCAGTCCGGACAACTGCACTTTAGTCCGGACAACTGCACTTTAGTCCAGACAACTGCAGTTTAGTCCAGACAACTGCACTTCAGTCCAGACAACTGCACTTCAGTCCAGACAACTGCACTTCAGTCCAGACAACTGCACTTCAGTCCAGACAACTGCACTTCAGTCCAGACAACTGCAGACAACTGTACTTTAGTCCAGACAACTGCACTTTAGTCCAGACAACTGCACTTTAGTCCAGACAACTGCACTTTAGTCCAGACAACTGCACTTCAGTCCAGACAACTGCACTTCAGTCCAGACAACTGCAGTTTAGTCCAGACAACTGCACTTCAGTCCAGACAACTGCACTTCAGTCCAGACAACTGCACTTCAGTCCAGACAACTGCACTTCAGTCCGGACAACTGCACTTTAGTCCAGACAACTGCAGTTTAGTCCAGACAACTGCAGTTTAGTCCAGACAACTGCACTTCAGTCCAGACAACTGCACTTCAGTCCAGACAACTGCACTTTAGTCCAGACAACTGCACTTTAGTCCAGACAACTGCACTTTAGTCCAGACAACTGCACTTCAGTCCAGACAACTGCAGACAACTGCACTTCAGTCCAGACAACTGCACTTTAGTCCAGACAACTGCACTTCAGTCCAGACAACTGCACTTCAGTCCAGACAACTGCAGACAACTGCACTTCAGTCCAGACAACTGTACTTTAGTCCAGACAACTGCACTTCAGTCCAGACAACTGCAGACAACTGCACTTCAGTCCAGACAACTGCAGACAACTGCACTTTAGTCCAGACAACTGCACTTCAGTCCAGACAACTGCACTTCAGTCCAGACAACTGCACTTCAATCCAGACAACTGCACTTCAGTCCAGACAACTGCACTTTAGTCCAGACAACTGCACTTCAGTCCAGACAACTGCACTTCAGTCCAGACAACTGCACTTCAGTCCAGACAACTGCACTTCAGTCCAGACAACTGCACTTTAGTCCAGACAACTGCACTTCAGTCCAGACAACTGCAGTTTAGTCCAGACAACTGCACTTCAGTCCAGACAACTGCAGACAACTGCACCTCAGTCCAGACAACTAGTAGACAACTGCACTTTAGTCCAGACAACTGCACTTCAGTCCAGACAACTGCAGTTTAGTCCAGACAACTGCACTTCAGTCCAGACAACTGCAGACAACTGCACCTCAGTCCAGACAACTAGTAGACAACTGCACTTCAGTCCAGACAACTCCAGACAACTGCACTTCAGTCCAGACAACTGCACTTCAGTCCAGACAACTGCACTTCAGTCCAGACAACTGCAGACAACTGCACCTCAGTCCAGACAACTGCAGACAACTGCACTTCAGTCCAGACAACTGCAGACAACTGCACTTCAGTCCAGACAACTGCACTTTAGTCCAGACAACTGCACTTCAGTCCAGACAACTGCAGACAATTGCACTTCAGTCCAGACAACTGCACTTTAGTCCAGACAACTGCACTTCAGTCCAGACAACTGGACAACCAGACAACTGGACAACACCGAAGCATTAAGAACTTTGTCAGTGTCTGTACAGTTTAATAAGAAGGTATTTTATACACACAGTCAACTTCGCGAATACAGGAAGAAGCCATCTTTGAAAAATAGTCTCTACCAGTCGATCTACGAACGCCGATCCATGTGCGCTGGTGAGATGTGAATAAGGTGATAAGGTGAACGCGAACAGTAGGCTACATGTACATATTGAAGAGAAGAAAACAGTTTGTGTTTGTTTCTTCCGAAAACAACGGACCATATGAGATTCTGCACAGTTCAGCGCACTTGGATCGGCGTTCGTAGATCGTTCCTCAGATACCGTTGACTAGGTAACAATGTGTAATTAGACCAAAGGTTCCTTTTGCGCCATGAGTTCTCCTTTAACAGTAATGAGCTTGGAAACAACAAACTTTTTCTGCCTAAATAAAGTAATGATTACTGTATTTGTAACTAGCATATGTCTAGTTACAGTCCCTGCATTGTAAAATGTAAGTTATACTTTTGAGGAGTGAACATTTAGACATAGAGAAAAAGTATCAAATGTATCTTGTGCAGAAAAGTTAGCTTTTCTTTTACACGTGTGTGAAATCCAACAATATTTAATAATAAATAAATAAAAATCGGCTGATATATCGGAATATCGGATTTTAAAACCCAAAAGTATTTGTATCGGCCTTCAAAATCCTTTATCGGTCGGGCTCTACTAGACAACTGCACTTCAGTCTAGACAACTACACTTCAGTCCAGACAACTGCACTTTAGTCTAGACAACTGACATCAGTGTTTATATCTGAAATATAAAAGTTTATCCCAGTACTTCTGTGATCATTTGAGTTCTTGTTAGACAGAAATAATGATACTGTGTGGTTCAAAAAACTGTTTGTGAAGTTGTTTAATACCTGAACATGACAACTGCTCCGTGATACGTGTTTTCAAAGGTTCAATAGATATACCCAAATTGCCATTTAGTAATAAGATCACATGGGTGTGAACTGAGATAATTGTAATTGTATAGCTCGAGTATCCACACAATCTTTGATGTCAACAAGACTTACTTTTGTCAGAAGCTTTAATCCAAAGTGATTTGCACTGTCTCCATTCCCAGTTCATGCATTCCCTGGGAATCGAACCCATGACCATGGCGTTGCTAACATCATGCTGTACTGTTTAAACTACAGGAATGCAAAAATAAAAAAGTCAAGCAAATTCATTTTGCTTTCCCAATTATGCAAGATTATATGTTTCATTTAATATATTATTTCAATTTAGGACTAATTTTTTTCACCATTGTCTTATCAAATGAGCCGTGACCCACCAGTTAAAAACCGCTGCATTATTGCTGATCATTAGTAGACATCATATAATTTACTGTATGAATGGAAAACACAGATACTTGTGTAAGGGTGTGCTAAATATTATAAAGCCAGCAGCATTTATCAGCCAAGAGTGACGCATCCCTCATTTCTGCAACATATACAAACAACAATGAAATAAGGAATTAATACCTTCCATCTGTTAATTAAAAATAAATCAAGACATTCACACATTCTTAAAAACAGAAATAATTTTAGCGTAATGTTGTAGTAGATTCATATTATAATCAAATGAAAATACTCTTTCACTTCCCCAAAACAACATCCTTATGCGGCCACCCACAGGAGTTCTAGTTTTTATAGGTCGTCTTGATTTGTATCACAGCGCCTTTATAAGAGAAACAGTTGGCAGCTCTATTTTAAGGACCAGATGATGATCAGTGCAAATAAAACAAGTACAGAAACGACTATTTCTGTCACAAGGGAGAAAAATAAAAATAGTAATGGCACATCTTTTGATTAAAAAAAAAAAAAAAAAAAAAAACACTACCAGAGAGCTTATTATGCACCACACATCTCTAAAAAAAGAAAGTCACCCACCACAGGTTAATGGAACAAAAACAGGCATCTGTCAGACCTAAATAAAGAGGATGGGATAAAATGAAGGGACTGTGTTTGGTATAATATGGAAGAATTTGATAAGTGTTCTTGTGTTAATTGCTTCGGGATCTGTTTGGAAGCCACAGTGAAATGACTCAAGCTGAGCATCTGTCAGGATTGTGACGTGTTCTCTGGCATGTTTCACACTTTGCTCAGATCCAGCTTGCACAGATAAGGGGAGCGGAAGGAGCCCAGATACAGGTAGCCGTTGTACTCGTGTGCCTCGCTGATGTAGGCCGCCACCATGCCGTGCGGGTCGTGAAAGCTACGAACGCACGTCCCACCGTCCTGGAGCTCTACCACCAGGCTGTAGCGCGGCACAAACTTCAACAGAGTTTCTTGACTGAAGAGCTGAGAACACAAAACATGGGAAAGCAGATCTATTTCAGACATATATTGAGTCGGAATGTGTAAAAACACCATTACAAAAAATATAATCAAAATTAAAGCTGCAAGCAGCGATGGGCGGGCCCTCGCACCTGTAGCGCGTTGGGGTGTGAGGCGGCCGCATTGCATATTCTGCGGCTCAGCCGGTGCGGCTGTGAAATTTTTCGCTGCTTCGTTAAAGGTCACTTCCTCTTGCCACTAGGTGGCGCTATGACTGTGGGTGAATATCGCCATGTAGATTTGTTCAGGGCGGGACTCTTGTCAAATGTGTAAAATTTTGTGCAGATCTGGGCATTTACAGCCAAGTTACTACAACTTCCTCTTTCATGGCGAATCATCGACGCCACAGACACGCCCATCGACGAAAACGTGCAGATAGCACAACTTTACATCGTCAATGCCTTTAAAAAGGCACAGCAGAAATTTGAAGTCGATCTGACTAAATCCCTAGGAGGAGTTCGTTAAAGTACGTAATGAGTAAATCATTCAAAAATGGCGGTAAAATTAGAAATGGCCGACTTCCTGTTGAGTTTAAGGCTTCGCTCCAAGAGACTTTTCTGTGCGTCTGGACATGGTAGATGTACCACCGAAATTTCGTACATGCCGGTCAAACATGCGGCGGGGGCTGCTTCATTAAAAGTCACTTCCTGTTGCCAGCAGGTGGCGCTATGACTGGGGGTGAATGTCATCATGTAGATTTATTCAGGGCGGGACTCTAGTCAAATGTGTAAAATTTCGTGCAGATCTGGGCATTTACAGCCAAGTTACTACAACTTCCTGTTTCATGGCGAATCATCGACGAAAACGCGCAGATAGCACAACTTTGTCGTCAATGCCTTTAGAAGGTACAGCAAAAATTTGAAGTTGATCCGACTAAATCCCTAGGAGGAGTTTGTTAAAGTACGGAGTGTGTAAATCGTCCCAAATCGGTCGCCAAATTAAAAATGGCGGACTTCCTGTCGAGTTTAGGGTATGGGTTCTTGAGGCTTTTTTGTGTGTCTTGAAATGATACATGTCTCCACCAAATTTCGTGCATGTAGGTTGAACGTGGACGAGGGGCTAATTTTTTCCAATTTTCTAGGTGGCGCTAGCGAGCCATTTTGCCACGCCCATCTGCGAAACCCACAAAATACGAAATTTTTCACCAGTCCTGACATGAGTGCCAAATTTGTTGACTTTTTGAGCAAGTTGCGGCCCCGAAAATGGCGCTTACTTTGCAGAAAAAAGAAAAAACCCTAACAGTTTCAAGAGGGTCCTCGCACTGTTAGTGCTCGGGCCCTAATTAGCAATTAATTAACCAAACAACATGTTTCCTAAGAGGTGCTCACTTAAGAATGGTTCTAGTACAACAGTGCCAGCCACCCTTTTTCACTGGCACTGGTTTGAGAAGTATTTTTTCCCATAGGGATTATTATTATTATTTTTTACGAGGTGAATAGGAACACTACAAATTTTTATTTGAAGCAAAAACAGTTTTTAAAAAAGTCGGGACAAGAATATATGGGTACAAGACTGTGCACTTTGCTTTAGTGAGGAAAACTACAATCCCATGAAGCATTGCGAACAGCACAATCAAATTACATTCAATTATAGACATATAGCCTACACACAAATGTTTAAAAGGTGCATTATGCAACATTTCAAGTTAAAAATACCTTTTTTTCTAACCCATACATGCTTAAACAATTGCCTGATGGGCTGAATGAGCCCTTTTCTGATCACTGCGATCGCCTCTATAATCCTGTACAGCACAATAAATAAGAGGGATTCGGGCTCGATTTTTGAAACTGGGCGTGACGTCATGCTCGCCTGGCTATGTCTGGCAGGTTTGTGTATTCGCCACCATTGTCAGTATCAGCGAAGACAACTCGAGCGACACAACTTTAGTCAACTTTCGACAAAAGTAGAAGATGGATTCAAAGAGACCGGCTTGTAGTTCATTCCAAACCCCAACGCAAACTCCACATAAGACAAAGAAAATCAAACTTTTGTCTAGTGCCAGGCGTCGGAATAAGACGAGAGTCAACATCGGGAAGCTTTCAACAAATGGAGAGATCTACGGTTTGCTCTAGGGCTCAAACGGGTCCCGTACAAAGTAATAACTTACTGTATATTGTTCATGAACGTGTTTCCATAATCAGTGCCCCCAGAAAAACGTGATTATGTGATAGCTGAATTCAATGCAAAATCAGCCAAAGTCCGCATATTTATGCGGGGGCCGCATTTTTTCAAATACATCGCACTTTCGCCGCATAAATTGCAGATTTCCGTTCAAAATATGCGGGGTTTGCATGATTTCATAATCCTCGCATTTTCGTTGCAAAAAAGTCACATATATCTTAGCAGAAAGTTGAAAAATGTTGTGTTTGCTTCATGCAAGAGCAGCCATTTCCCCCTGTTTCCATGGGAATGTTATGAAGTGACGCAATTACGCGACGGGAATCGGGATAGCTCACAGCTGAAGTTATTGCAGAGGCCAGACAGACTCACGGAGGCGATTGACATCTCACAAATCGAACTCGTATAACTGTCTGTCACACGTTCTACCGTCACATCATTACTTAATAAACAAAATAAGATAAAAGAAGTAGCATCAAACAGAAATTACCCGCACACATGGGGTGTTTGAGGCGCACATATAACACTGCAACAGGTTCAACAGGGAGCGCACAGCTCTTAAAGGGGCCACACCTTATTTACACTCGTTATAGTCTGAAATAAAACAAGATGAGAAATTAAATATTCCCAGCACTTTCTATGATGTAGTATGCTTGCTTATCAAAGGAAGTAATAAGAAATGACTCTTTACATTAAGGTAGTACAGGGCTCCAGACTAACTTTTTTTACTAGGAGCGCTGTTGCCCCTGACTGAAAATTTTAGGAGCGCAAGCTGAAAATTTAGGGGCACACCTTAAATCAGCTTGCAATGCAATTATTCAAATTTCCCCCAAAATAACTGTAGTACTGACAAATTCTTTAATAATAAATAGACTTAACATTATGATATGCTGTTTTGTTTTAAGTTCACAAGTTCACAAAAAAAAAAAAAAATCTGGTAGCACTGGTGCTGACAATAAATCACTAAGCTTAATTTAGGGTGTAGATGAAATAAACTTTAGTTATTATCTTTTATAATGTCTTAATATTAATTAATAAAAGTAGTGAAAATATGTATATGGAGTGAAAATAGCCAATAAACATCCTACTGTTTACAATGGTATTATTTTTTTTTTAAGTGTTTAAATAAGAGTTTTCCAACATCTCAAAATTTTTCTTTTTAGGACAATCTTTAAAGGATGAACAAAAAAAGGATGTTGGTAATCACATAAAAAATACAAAAAAATAAAACATTTATATATGATATTATTGAAGTGCTGGGAAAAGATGTGTAGGCTACTTGTAAGCATTTGACTTTCTTACACATTATCATATTTATGGTTAGAGTTAACTTACTACATTAGCCTAAATCCATGGTTCTGTTAGGCTGATTTGTGGACTGAAAGCCTTCTATAAGTGTTTCTCCTGGTTTCCACGTCAGCGCTGTTTGATCTGATATGGTAGAACTCTGCGCCGAATCTGAGTGTTTCTCACTGGATCTCGTGGTGTTGATGTTATTAATTCTGAGGCGAATTCAATGGATTTCTTCACTGGATCTGCTAGTAACAGTGTTGCGTGAGCGAGATCGGCTTTATTTTACAGTCAGTGGTTCGGATCGCTGCTGCTGCTCCACGGTCCTAGAGTGGTGTATTTTCGTTCCACTTTCATTTTGTTTGCATTCGCTGCTAGGTAACGACTAACGAGTCGATAGATCACTGATTGCTCAGACGCACATCAGGTTGTGATATTTGTCTCTGTCTCCTTCCCACAGACGTTTACGCACGCTATTCTTGTCACGGATTCATTGACGCGCCCCTTCCACGCTTTACCATGCGTGGCAAATTTACTGGTCGCACATGTGCGACTGGATGTAAAATTCAGTCGCACACTCTCAAATTTTGGTCGCAAAATGCGACCATTTGGTCGCAGTCTGGAGCCCTGTAGTAGGTAGCCTAGTGAGAACAGGGTGTTGGGGGAATCACTTTATCAAACCGCAGTTTTTGCAAGTTCCCGCAATTTTTGCAAATTCCCGCAGTTTTTGCAAGTTTCCGCAATTTTTGCAAGTTCCCGCAATTTCATCGCATAAAACTGCATAAATATCCTGCATATTACATCGCATTATTAAAGAAAACGGGCCGCGTAATCAAGGATTTTTGCCCGCAACAATCACAAAAAAACTAGTTTTTCTGGAAGGACTGCATAAAACAGTTCAACACGGAGATAGATGGAAACAAAAACAGAAGTTTTCTACTACCCCCGTTTTCCCCTTACACAAGTGTGTAATTTACTCAAATGTCTTTCCTTTCACATATTTAAAATGACTTGCAGATTTATAACTTTATTACCTCTGAAGACATGACTGTAACAAAAGATTTGTGCAGCAGATGCTCCTTTGGTTATGAACAGCTCGTGCAAGGATGCGTGTGCGTGGTCCATGAGCATGCACACCTCTGGTTGCAGTTTCGCTTGTCTCCAGAGGGGACGTAGTTCTGCAAAAACTCACAGACTTGCGCAATACATCTTTAAGTATTTTTAAAGAGACCTGATTATTCATAGTGCTTCATGGGACTGGGAGGAAATAAAGAGATCTTTTGGCAAGTGTTGCTTTTTTCGACTCTCTGATTGGTGTCTTTTTTTTGTTCAGCATCATGGGTAATGTAGTTTTCACCAAGAATTCTGCAGTTAAACACGATTATTTAAAAAAATAAGCTAATAATAAAAATAATGCTGGCTGACGGCAAATACCATAGATTAACAAGCTCATAGCTCACAGTAGGTCTTTAAAGGTTTATAAGTTATAGCTTAAACTCAATTTTCCTATGGAGAAAATGAATGCAGATTTTACTTCCAGAACCGACTGTCACTCTATTAAGAAAAACAGCAGGATGGAGTGCAACAAAATGACAAAATTTGTGGGTCTCGAGAACCTTTTTATAAATGGGTCCATTTATTTTCTTGTTTTATATATCTATTTGTCAATTTTAAAAATGATTTATTTGTTATTTTACTGTTACAATTAACTATGTTTAAACTGTTTACATAAAAAGCAATAAATGTCTATATATTTGTCAGTTTGAAAAGAGATTTTTCAGTTACATTTTTCACTCAAATTTTCAAGTATTTAAATAAACATCTACATAAACGTATGTCTATGTATTTGTCATTTGAAACATGATTTATTACTCAGACATTGTTTATTATTAATTGTAATAAAAAATATATTAATTAGTAATAATTAGATAAATATAAATAAGAAAACAAAAATCATTAAAAAAACATTTATTTTTTATTAAAAAAATAAAATATTGGTATAACATTTTTTTTTATTGGTATAACAAGATTTTATTATACTTCTAAATGGCAGCTTACCTTAAATATGAACTTCTTTATCCAGGGTCTTTGAGACAGGAAGTCCAGCATAGAGAAGCCGGGGTTGGGTCGCACAGCAGACATGGCCACCCAGTATCCTCCTGAAGAACTGCGTCGAATGTTGTCAGGGAATCCCGGGAGGTTGTCTATAAAGGTATCCATTCCTCCTTTATTGAGGCCAGAAACGTGAACTCTGTGAAGACAACAAAGTAAACATTCAATATGTAGAACTGAACATGAGAAGTGACAGAACGATACATCAGCTAAACCGACAAGTCAAGATTTTAAGACTATCGACATTTGATTTGTTAAGAATTGAACAAATCTGGTTCCAATACATTGTAATACACTAACCAAACAATAATAATCTTTTGGCAACATTGTCTCATTTTTAATTAACATAACCTCAGTTAATCTAGGAGTTATTTTTACTCAGCACTGTTTCTACTGATTTAACCAGACCATCCCCGATCACCACAGGGTTAAAGTAGTCACCTTCAATAAAGATTGTTTCAAAGCAGCTTTACAGTGATAACAGGAAATTACAGTAACCTAGATTGTTTTGGCTTGACAACAGCTCTTGAATAAAGTTATTGTCAGGCTAAAGTTAGTTTTTGATTGATTCACTTCCATTGCAAAGATCATTAGTTATTAATTTAGGGACCGCTTACACGACACCGTTTTAACTGAAAGCAGAATACTTTTAATGCATTCTAGCAGCTCATCTGCACAACGACGGTGTAATTTGAAATGTGTTTCAAGGTGCAAGTTCTGAAAAAATTTTTGAATATATATGTGCGTGGGGGCGTAGTCTTTTTCAACAAACTGACATCATCCAATTACTTGTCTTGTCTGGCCTTCATAATACAGAATTTTAGTCTCTTCCACGCATCCGTGCGAACTGGAATCATTTTGATAATGTTTGATCTGTACAGAGGTAAAGGGAAAGAACATTAATATTAAACCATCTGGAGCACGGAGACCACACTAGCTTTAGTAAGAGCAAACATGCTATGCATCTCTCCACACAGGAAGCTTAACGATGGAGCCTGTTGCCTTGGCAACTGCATGCACTCATCATTCATCCAGGTGAGGAGAACGGCCCGTGCCTCTAGCAGACATGGGACGTCATGTAGCTGTGAATGAGGACTATGTCATTCAAGAGGTCAGCTGTGAGGCGATAAAGAAGTGACAGGGAGAACGGATGTGTTCTAGCTGACCTGATAATGAATCAGCCTAGAGGGAGGGACACGCTTACAATTACACTGGACAATCAGAGTTTACTGAAATATAGGTGGAAGTGAAGCACAGAACAGCTAATTATTAGTCGGATTTGTATTAGAAAGCAAACATGAGCATCTCTAAAGTCAAAGATGTGAAATTTGCCATGAGGGATACAAATACATTATGGTTCAAAAGTTAGGATTTTTCAAATAATTTGAAAGAAGTCTTAGGCTGCATTGATCAAAAATAGGCTTAAGTAAAAACAGTAATGTTGTGAGATTGTGAGTTTGTTGATATAATATTATGTCCATATATATATATATATATATATATTTGATGTAATTTATTCCTGTGATGCAAAGCTAATAATAATTTGAAAGAAGTAAAAAAGTAAAAAAAAATAATTTGAAAGAAGTCTCAGGCTGCATAGATCAAAAATAGGATTAAGTAAAAACAGTAATGTTGTGAGATTGTGAGTTTGTTGATATAATATTATGTGCATATATATATATATATATATATATATATATATATTTGATGTAATTTATTCCTGTGATGCAAAGCTAATAATAATTTGAAAGAAGTAAAAAAGTAATAAAAAAAATAATAATTTGAAAGAAGTCTCAGGCTGCATTGATCAAAAATAGGCTTAAGTAAAAACAGTAATGTTGTGAGATTGTAAGTTTGTTTATATAATATTATGTGCATATATATATATATATATATATATATATATAATATATATACTGTATATATATATATATATATATATATTTGATGTAATTTATTCCTGTGATGCAAAGCTAATAATAATTTGAAAGAAGTAAAAAAAATAATTTGAAAGAAGTCTCAGGCTGCATTGATCAAAAATAGGCTTAAGTAAAAACAGTAATGTTGTGAGATTGTAAGTTTGTTTATATAATATTATGTGCATATATATATATATATATATATATATATATATATATATATATATATATATATATATATATATATATATATTTGATGTAATTTATTCCTGTGATGCAAAGCTAATAATAATTTGAAAGAAGTAAAAAAAAATAATTTGAAAGAAGTCTCAGGCTGCATTGATCAAAAATAGGCTTAAGTAAAAACAGTAATGTTGTGAGATTGTGAGTTATGTGCATATATATATATATATTTGATGTAATTTATTCCTGTGATGCAAAGCTGAATCCTTCAAAAATCATTCAAACATTTAATTTTGTCATGCAGCTTAATATTTTTGTATTATTTTCAGGACTCTTAAAAATAGAAAGTTAAAAAACTCCAGCATTCATTCGAAACTGCAAATTGTTTTAATATTTAAAAACTTTAACTTAAAAAATATCAAATTAATGCATCCTTGCAGAATAAAAATATGAATTTCCTTTTTATTTTATCTTACGTCAAGCTTTTGAACGCTTGTGCACAGTATATACTATAGAAATAGTAAAAACAGAATGAACATAGCTCTTGTTCAGTTGGTTTTGATTAGAATAATTTTAAAAACGACCAAAGTAACAGAATATAAACGGTACGGCGAGTATCACCTCCTTATTCTCGCCATTGTGGTTTCAGCCACTAGAACAGACTCCTCATCAGGGAAGAGCTGGATGCCGTTAGGAAACCTCAGGTTCTCCATCATCACGGAAACTTCCTTGCTCTCTGTATCGTACTCAAGCACACTGAAAAAAAACAAATGAGCAACATCAGTCACCGTACTAAAACATAACTGCGAGTGAAAACAAGCAGTGATTCAGAAACTATGCGCAATGTTCCAACCAATACAACTGTCAAGTGTGAAAACCCATGAAATGCACTGAAAATCAGCTGTGCCACCGAATCTTTCATGTCCCACTTACCGTCCATCTGCTGTGGCCTCCATGATCAGGTGCATGAAGTCTCTGCGCTGCCACCTGCTGCTGGAATCAGTGAAGTACACCTTTTTCCCATCCTGAGTAACATCCAGATCATTCACAAAGCCCAGACGTCGACCACCGATCATCTTCCCTGTGCTCACCAGAGATTGTACCTCACCTAAGAGTCAAAACGAGACATTGTTCATTGTTCTTTGTGTTCTTGACAGACGTGGACACCGAGAACTGTTGTTCTCAGAGGAGTGGTATAACCCTATAAATGAGTACTGACTTTTTAAAACAGAATATGTGTATTCTCTTTCCTTACCTGTGACAGGGTTGACCTCAAACAGTCCCAAATAGGCATCAGTGACAAACAAGGTGCCATTGGGTCCCACGCGGATTCCCAGAGGACGTCCACAAGTGTGTTCATGCTCATGAGAGCCTTTGAATTAGGAAAAAAAAAACATTAATGATAGTAGAATTTGATACTGGAATTCTCAATCATATCTAACATAACTCAGTTATTCAATAACTTGATTTGCTTGATGGAACAAAATGCGTCAGCTAAAATTAAAATTCTAATCACACTTTATGTTTGTTTCCGCAGTGTCAGCAGTTTAAACACAGCCAGCGAGAAGAAAGGAGTACAGTCATCCATTATATAAAATGCCATCTTCTACTGTAATAAAATACACTTTTAACCTGTCTATGTAGTGCTTTAATGTTACATTACATTAATGCATGAGTGCATTACAAACATTAGTGTAATGTACTACCAGTAGGGCTGGTTCAAGCCTTTAGTCGACAAGTCAGACGTTTGTGATATTAATTTAATTACGATGGTTTCAGTTTCAGGGCTGAGAAGGAATATTATATGCAACACTGTTCTACATTACAGAGAAATACTAAACCATAATAATGAACATTTAAAATATAAATTAAAGGTGCAGTTAGCAATTTATGAGAATCATTGAAAAATAAAGCAAAGATCATGCCAATTAGTCATTTACATTATAAATATATATTCAGGGACATATTGGTGTCTCACACTGGATTCGAACCCAGATTTCTCACACCAAAGGCATGTGTCTTTTCCACTGCGCCATCACCAAAGCGAAATGTAGAAGTGCCTACTTAAAAATTTGTCATTGCACTGTTTTGTTGTGTTTTTCATTCATCAGATGACACCATTGTCAAAAGGATCCTGATTTACACAGATCCGCGAAAACGTCTAAAAACTCTGTATTCTGTTGCCAGGCCATTAGATGGCGATGAAACACTATAGACTGAACATGTAATATGCATGTGCATGACATCAGATTCCTCAGAGATTCGCGTTTTTGTTGTTTACATTGAGACCGTTTTCAAAAACTTGCAATTTGAAACCCGTTTTCAAAACTTAACGTTTCAGGCCCCCAAAAACGCTGTTGTCGTGTAAACAAAAAGCCAAAACGCATAAAAGGTTTTAAAACCGTGTTGTGTAAACAGCCCCATAGTGTGATCAAACGTACAGGTAATGCAAAAACTAATTTATTAGCTGATATATAGTTTATATGATTCGTGAATTGTATACATCTCTGGAAGGTGAAAACGACATCTCCCATAGTTCCACTCTCCTTGAATATCGTCTTTGTTATCGTTTTGAAAATGCGGCCTCTAGTGGCGAAAAAAATTACATATTGTAGCTTTAACTGATGAATGTGTTTAAGGAGAACTCCGGCACAAAATAAACCTTTGGTTTAATAAAACATCGGTACTTAGTCAAGCGCTCTCTGAGATTTGTTTTCATGATAATCGAATGTAGCGTATAACGCTAGTAATGGGGGTAATTAATAAGTAAAAAGAGATCGCTAGTTTATATCACTAACAAGGCTCAAAATATCCCCACACTAACACAGTATCATAATTCATAATGAGGGTCCCTACATGCAAAACGAAGCATTGAGAACTTTGTAAGTGTACAGACCGTTTAATAAGAAGATACTTTATGAAGACAGTCCACTTCGTGTATACAGACAGGAGCCATCTTGGAAAACGGTCACGACAAGTCAAACCACGAACGTCGTGCTGAGTGAGCTGAACTGTATGAAGCTCAGCGAACTTCTGAACTGTGTGAACGGCATTCATGGTTCGACTTATTGAGACTATTTTCTAAGATGGCTCCTATCTGTATACGCGAAGTATGGGGCTATTTTGTGTGGGGCTATTTTGAGCCTTGTTAGTGGTATAAACTAGCGATTTCTTTTTACTTAGTAAATGCCCCCGCTACTAGCATTATATGCTAAACAGTTTTTAGAGATAAAACTCTTTACATTCGATCATGAAAACAAATCTCAGAGAACGATTGACTAGGTATCGATGTTTTATTAGACCAAAGGTTCATTTTGCACTGGAGTTCTCCTTTAATGGCTCGTTTCCACTGAGTGGTACGGTACGGTACAGTTCGGTTCGGTACGCAATTATTTGCGTTTCCACTGTCAAAAGTTGTGAATGGTACCAAAAAGCCGAACCGTACCATACCACTTTTTGGGTACCCTTCCGTTGGGGTACCTAGCACAGTGAAAGGGTACTAAAAGGTGGAGCTAGACTCACTGCAGAACGCTGATTGGTGGACAGAGTATCATCACTCGCGCGTGCTACAAGGGCATTAGAAGCATACAGTTGAAATATAATTCTACTGTTATTTTGTCACGAAATGTAGTTGTACGAATTTTTCAGGCGAGAAAGTAGTTTTTAAAGCTCAAATCTGTGGTTTATTTATAGATTTATGATCATTTGACTGAGATCCATTCCAAGCGATCACCGGACGCTTGCGCTCGTGTCCCCCGCCTGGAACAGCCTTTCCTCGGCTAGTCGTTCTGATGTTTGCCGCTGATTCGGATGTCTCTGTAGTGGTTAAACATGAGATATAGTTCGTCTTGTATAAACCTAACAGGCGATCTTTGGTCTCGTGAATCTATAATTCGTTCCCTGGCCAATAGTTTTGGCAGAAGGCTACGTGAAGTTTCATATCTTTCGGCGCTGAATTTGTAGCCTATTTGACTGACTGAATTGTTTCTTTATGTTATTAAAGCTTTACTGTATATCTTTTTGTACCTTTTACTTATACTTTTATAATGGCTATTATTGATAAAACTGAAATTCAACAAAAAGAGATCGTTTTGTCATTTTTTTTTTTATTACAAGATCATCTGTTGTTTATTGCAACATTTGTACCAATGCGATATGCAATACATTGCATTACACATTGCCTGGAATATGTTTAATATTTTTAAATTTAAACGAAAAGAGGCCGGGTTGTTTTATATTTAGTTTTGTTATGAAATATAACATTACATACATGCAGTGAATATAATCAATAGGCTATGCGTTGCCTGAACCACATTTATGTGCTTTAGAATGTTTAAAATGTATTGAAATGAAATCGAAAAAGAAGCAGAGTGGTGTTTTATGACATATTTCGTTTTATTGTTGCCTAAAATGAACAGAGATAACCGGAGTTGCAGAGCGAGCAGAGCGCCGCGTTCAAGAACACGCTGTTCCATTAGCAGCATTACTGGACTCGCGTCCTCGGGATCATTCTCCTGAGTCGGACTTTGCGTTGGCTTCTTGGAAACGCCTAAAGCCAGCGCTTGTTTCTAGTGACAAACATGCCGAGAAGCAAGAACAAGATCTGCTGTCTGTCATCCATTCTTTTTTACTATGTCGCTTTCTTCGCGGGAAAATGACGTCGATCGCTTCTTTCCAGCATACCACGCCTATCAAGTAAGGGTACTGTTGGCGGTTGAAACGCAAGCCTGATCATGGTGTACCCGACCCGACCCGTACCGTACCCCTCAGTGGAAACGAGCCATAAGTGACTTTACGCCAGATGTGAACAACGATTGGCCACAGATTCGTCAATTTGAAAAACCTGTGCAGTGCGTTCATTACAATTAAATTTTCATACAACATGACTTACATCATTGTAAAGATAAAACATTAGTTATGTTAGTGACATTACCTAGGAACAGCAGAAGTACTTTTAGGTTAACACATTTTTTAAAAAGTTTATAAAGTCATTCTTGTTACAGGATTCAAACTCGTCCATCAAAACACAAGCAACACAACATTAGCGTATTCTATCGATTTAACTACTTTACCACCACAAACAGATCTTGATCTTCAAATAAGCTTTTCTGTAGCCTAATATTTTATGATTTTATTTATTTGTGCCTCACACTCACATGCTGATACAGCCTGAATACATTATGACACAGTGACACGTTCTCATCAAAACACCCAAATATTGTGCGACATTATACTCATCACTTAGTATTCAATGAACAAACAAATGACCCAAATAAATAAGCTGATTTATTGAGCTGAGTCATACTCATAACATACTCACTCTTGCAAAATGTGATATAAAGCTTTCATTGGGACCCCTTACAGCTATATTTCTTTAAAAACAAGTCAGTTGGATTAAATGATCAACAAATGTATTCAACTGAATAAAAAAAGATGCAAATGAGTTCGATAGTAAGCATTATGAAAGGCAGTTATGAATGAAAGGTAGATGAAACGCTTGTGTGAAGGATATTTTGTGATTTTTGTTTTGTCCAAACATTGAAAATGTACTAAAATCATAGGAAAAAAGGACATGCATTTTTGATGATCTGTTGTGCGAAGATTTTTTAAAAAATGTACCTCTTGACAACGGTACCAGCGTGAAAAAAAATAAATAAAAAAACCTGTAATGACTCAGCTCAATGGAGGGCTTATTTATGTAGGTCATTTGTTTGTTCACACAGATGAGGCTAAATCAGCATGCGAGCGTGAGGCAACATGAGCGCAGTGTCATCATGAAATATTAGGCTACAGAAAACAATATTTGAAGATTAAGATCCGTTCGCTTGCTGTGGTGGTAAAATAGTTTTAGTAAACAATTTTCCATTGATTGTATTTTGATGGACGAGTTTGAATCCCATGACAGGAATTATTAGCATTTAGTTTTTTTTTTTTCTTAAACATAATTCTACCAGGTAATGACATCACTAATGGTTTATCTTTACAATGATACCAGCATCATGTTGTAAGAAAGTTTCAATTTAATGAACATAAAATAAAATACATAAACAACATAAAATAAAATGTATTTACACATTTAAAAGCTCACCGGCAAATGTAATGATTACGAATGTGTCAGGTAAAATAACAGCAAGGAGATTGTCTGAACATTTTAATTTATTAATAAAATAGCAAGTGTCGGCTGTAAAGATGAAGTTGATATAGTGGATGCGACTTTAGAGAGAAATGCATGTTAAGTTAAACATTTCATGAAGTAAGCGCTGTGTAATTCCACACTTCGCACAAAAACCTGGATATATACCTAATATTAGCGAATATTTATCTAAGACAACGTTAACATTAGAGCGAGCAGCCATGTAAAGTTGCTAACGTTAGGCTACGTTACGTTGATGATGTTCGTCATGGACTGTGTGACTATTAAAATTCAGTTGACAAAAGCTTTGTTTAGTCGAAAATAATTTTTTGTGCATATCCAATTAGAATCCGATCATATTTAGCAAGTGTTAACGGCAAAAAAAAACTAAAAAAACCCCCCACAAGTTTCTGAAATCTGTACAAAGATTCATGCCATGTGCAACAATTCAGCATTTCAAAAGACAAGGTCACTTCTGTTGAAATCCCACATTACGCAGTGTTTGAGGAAACGGTCCAGTATTGTTGGTTTTCTTACCACATGGTGGCTTGCCAAGTGTTGCTAATACATGAATGTTCTTTCCCTCGATTTTGACTATCTTTCCATCAGCCGTCCCAGTGTACAAAACATCTACAAAACAAGGATGATTTAGAGGCATTGCATATTGTCATTAAAGTAATTTTTAAATATATTTAAAGATCAATATTAAGATCTACATATAATCATTTATATCTTAAGATCTTCATACTTCCTTATATATTGTCAGAGTGTGCAAGCGTGCAATTCAAAAATTCAACAACACACTCCAAGTCAACTCAACTTTTACCTATATTGGCAAGTACAACCGCAGTTTATCTCTCAGTGCACACACTGCCAAACAGCTGCAGCAGACTGGGTGAAAGGTCAAGTTTTAACTGCAATGCTTTGCAAACACTGACCTCCAATATTGGCAAGGGATTCTGGGCCGATGAGCCGCTCCTCGAACAGTCGCTCTGCCTGTCTGAGTTTCAGGTTGGGCTCGTAACAGCCAGTCATAAGAGGCGGTTCATTGAGACTAAATATTAAACACAAGAGGGCAAAAAAAAAAAGGATCTTTAATTAAGCTTCATGTTCAGGAACGTTGAGAAGAACTGAACTGGAAGTCGTTCTTTCAGCAGAAAGCTGGAGGAGATGAAATGCCCTACATATCAACTGCAGAGGCATCAATTATTAACCATTGTCAGAACTAAAAAAGAAATGAGAACGCACAGTCCGGCTTGACTTAAGATGAATATTTATATTGGATTTTGTCTTGACTCAAGAACATTTCGACAGCACCACAGCTCACAACTGTAGGGCTGGGCGATATATCGAGTTTGTACGATGTATCGTTATATTTTTTGAAACGATATGGAATGAGGCAATACCGTCGATACAGTAGTTTGATATGAGCACATCTGAAAAATAGCGGAGTTTGCAGTGTGAGCTGCTGCAGTGAAAGTAGCTAGGCTACGTAGTACAATTTGTCCTAAACATGACACAAGCTTGTATTAATTGCGTCAAAATCACTTTGATATAGTTAACAAGTTTAAGGCAGCTTGCCGCCCGGTCAAATGCTCTGACAGACACTGTTGCTGACTGACAGATATACTTGCGCTGTTTAATGCGTTTGAGATGTGGTGCTTTCCTCAGTGCTCAACTTACATTTCACATGTATATTCTCCATCTGTAAATGTTAGAAAGTAAAGCAAATATGTCCATTTCACAACAAATATGTCCATGTCAGAAGAGGACGAGCTTCTCCAAGTGAATCTCCGCTAAAATTCGTGCTTCCTTGTAGTGATGGCCGGTTCGTGAACGAATCGTTCTTTTGAACCGGTTCTTTTTAGTGAACCGGTCGAACCAGTACACTAAATCGGACTGAATCGTTCGAAACAGTTCGCGTCTTGCGTCAGCGCTAAACCACAAGTTGCTAAAGTTACTCACTTTCAGACATGCCTGACAGTCCCTCCGAATCGAAATAAACCAATATCCATTAGTACATTTTATTCCAGTAACTCAAAAACTTCACTGAACGGAGACATATATTGGTGCTGAGAGAAGTGATGAGCACGAGCAGCTGATACTGCGCATGCGTGTACTACCGAACATACAGGTACAGCGGTCGGATAACCAGTACAGAACCGAGAACTGTTTCTTTCGGACACGTTCGACATACTGAGAACTGATGAGTTGATGAGCTGAGCATGCGTGCATTTTTTTCTGAGGGACGAAATGTACGTTTCCATGTCTTTAGTTGAACATCAGTAAGTGTAACAAAATAAAACATTTTGGAAACATGTTTATCACATTACTGTATCACTGTATTATTTTAACGATTGGAAATAATGATTGGGTTCTAAAACTGTCAAACTACTAAACATTTATTATTATACTAAAATAATATTTTCAGGAACAGCTAGCTCGTTTAATTTCTAAGTAACAATAAATCATTGATGTAAACTCTTGCCAAGGTTTGGTGCACTAGTAAATGTTTATAATGTGTTAACATAACGAATTAAACATGTTTAATTCGTTATGTTAACACATTATAAACATGATATATATATATATACACTGTATAGGCTACAGAAGGCTATATTGGAGACAGACATGCATCGATTTTTTAGTTTTCTGGACTGTATCAGGTTTCAGGTCAGCACACACAGGCCTATGCTATGGTTCTCGAGTCGAGAACTGGTTGTTGCAGTTCTTGAATCACTAGTACAGAACCGAGAACTGTTTCTTTCGGACACGTTCGATACGGAGAACCGATGAGCTGGAGATACTGAGCATGCGTGATAGCACCGTCTCTGAACAGAACTTTCTTTCGGCCGGCTGATCCTGTGGTGATATACGAGCACGCAGTAGTAGGCTACGGGTAAACCCAGGACTTAAATGAGAGGGCGAATCGGCGAAATGTAAGTTTATTTAATAACAAATAAAATGATGAAGACCATATATGCATTTTATATATTTAAAACATGTAAAACATCCGCGTTAGCACATCGCCTAGGCTGCAGCAGGGTTCGTTTTCAAAATGTAAATGTAAGAAACTTATCCAAGATGATTATGACAATGCATACTATTATTTAACTGAAGTTGTGATTACAAATGCCCTTTAATTTGAAGTATTTTTATCCGCCGGGATGATAGAATTGACGTCATTACGTGATGACGTAAAAGAACTGGTGAACCGGTTTTTTGAACCGGTTCATAAAAACGAACTGTCCGAAAGAACCGGTTCGCGGAAAAGAACCGGTGTGGTGAAGAGATGGGTCCCCCTGAAGAGATGAGTCCCACCATACCCCATAGTATGCCAGTAGTATGCCTGATCAAAATATGTTCTCGCGATAACTTGATAAAAGCAGTTTGTTGCCCTCAAGTAATACGTTTATTTGTTTAGCGCTTTTCAAGTAAAACCTTTATTTGTTTAGCGCTTTTCATAGTAGGTTGCGTCAACAGCAGAGGAGAAAGTCCGCGAAATTGTATAAATATTAATAAATATTACTGTTATTTTGTCATGAAATGTAATTTTAAGAGTTTAAAAGTCGATAAAATAGTTGTTTAAAGCTCAAATCTGTGGTTTATTTATAAAGATAGCGCCTTTTTAAAACATTGTTCTGATTTAGATTTGTTCTGTAGCCTGCTGACTTATTGACTGAATCTTTTAACTTGTTTTATTTCTTGACTTGTATGAGCTTATTTTACCTTTTAGGCTACTTATTAATAATGTCTATTATTGATCAATAAAACTGAAATTTAACAAAAAGTGACAGGATTGTGTCATATTATTTCATGTACCTTATATAAGAATTTTTGATAACACTTTAGAATACGGTTGGTGAATAACTACACAAGAACTAATGAGTAACACAATATTAACAATCTAGTAACTATTATTAACTAACAAGAAACTCTGATTAACGAACTAATAAGTAATAGCGCACAGACGAAAGTGGTAGTTCACTATTAAGTAATTAATAACTACAATTTTTTTAATACTTCCCAGAGAACTACTGAAAAAGTTTTTAACAATCTAGTAACTACTATTAACTAAAATAAACTCTTATTAACGAATTAGTAAGTAATAGCTCACAGATGAAAGTGTTATTAGATACTTCTGTGGGAATTACTAATTATTTGGATTCGTATTATAAAGTGAAGATCATTGGAACTAACTAGTAATTACTCAAGTGTTACTACATGATCTAGTCATGATTTGTGCAACCGTTTGAGATTTTTGGTGAACTTTAGTAACTTTTAGAAAATGTCTTTCGTAACACTTGAGTCATTACTAGTAGAATACTGAAGAATGGGATGTCACCACTTCTTTTTCTGTCTGTTGAGAAAAAGCAACACCAGTGACTGATCACATCTTCTTTTCATCAGTTAGGGTACACCAGTAACTGAACAGAAACTGTTTAGAAAAATAAGAACATGATACATGATAGAGACATGTACAGGAAAGAGCAAGACAATTATAATAATCATTAATAATATAAATATCAAATCTGTTTTCTGTATCATAGTTAGGATGGGATTCTGTGGCACTCATTTGTCTGGTTTCAGCAGTGGTGAATAGATGTAAATGTATTTTGATGATCCATTGTTTTTAATCTTTTTGTACATAGTTTATGCTATTTTATCAACTTAACGCTGTATCCTCCAATAAAGTGTTGTGTATTAAAGTATTGTAAACATGGTGTTCAGTTCTACAATGAATAAAATATTTTACTAGGCTCATACGAGTTTATTTCCTATAATAGACGAAAAAATCCTAGCCTATCTACTGCATTAAAAAATGGAAGCAAGCACATTACTGATGTCAGAAATGTAAGACACAAGAAGATTAAATTTTGGCAAAAAAATTATCAAAGTTTGTTTTTCATGATGGACAGATATGCTGCACTTCCACAGAGGGACAGTAACACCCCTGGTTAGGATACAATTGACAGGATACTTTCTCTTGCTGTGTTTACTAAATAATGTTGGACACAATTTTCAGACACTTATGTAAAAGTGGGAAAAACTTTTTTTTTTTTTTTTTTTTTTAAACCATACAAGTCCGACAAAACTGAAGAGATTTCGCTGTCTGTCCTAACACACCACACAGAGACAGATGCGCACAACCGTGGATATTCCACTGTCCATGAACCCACTATTTAGTACAATTGAATATGTGCTACGTGGGATGTCCATAGCTCAGGTCAGGAGAGGTGTAGAGAGCCAGGACTTGTCTCATTGCCCTCATCAGAATCAGACATTTTTCTGTCGCCATCCACAATGAATAGGCTCATCACGAACGGGGGTTAGGAAACGCTTAGAAAGCGGCTAGGGCCCTCAAACTCTGGGGCCTGACTCAAGGTCCCTAGACGACGGAACTCGCCAAGTTTCGGGGTCCTGTGACCTTCCGTGTCCTTATGGCAGCTCGTTTCGTTAGATTGACCTTTTTGACCCCTGTCAGTTTTAAAATTAGCTTTTTTTCAGCCTTTTTCAACCTTTCGACTATTGAACGAGGTCCCAGGGCCACCAAACTTTCCCACCCGCACCAGGGGTCCATGGCAAGATGAAAAATGTTGCCCCCCTAGTCGCAAGGCCATTGCGAAGCGGTGTCCACGAAACCACTATGGCAAATACAGTCATTAAATGGGCGAGTGGGATTGACAGAAAGGTCCCAGGGGCCCCAAATTCAGCAAGCTGACCCTTGGGCCCTACCCAAGTGACATACCGAAAGCGCTGGGCTCTAGGGCTAAGACAACACATTTTTACCCTTTAACCCTAATCTCAGCCCTACAGTCTCTTTGACTCATGTACCTTAAGAGCCTTTTGAGTGAAAGTTGGTTAAAAGTGGCACACTTGCTACAGGAAGGTTCTAGGTTTTCACCCTTCGCCGTGCATCGGGGACCCATGGAGGGTCCAAATCTCAAATCTCAATGTACCATGACCCTGCATCTGCGTACGGGGGCCGTCCCACGGGCCACTTATTGGCATAGCGATTTCGCAGACAAGTTTCCCTTTTTCGATCTTTCGACC